TTTAGGATGCTGGTCTTTATCCTCAGAGCAATGTGAAGTCACTATTGCAATGAAGGTCAAGAGAAAAGCAAACCACAGAACCTACAAACGGCTTGTGGAAAGGCCTTAACTGTTGTTCTGCGATGAAATGAGGAAGGATTGAAAATCATTGGAGCCTCCTTACATCACAGGTGTCCTTGGCCAGCCATCTCCTTTCCTTCCAAGTGGACCAGGCCCCTGATCATCTCAGTTTCTGCACCCTGTGGACAACTCTGCCTAGCTACTCCTCTGCCCCTATAGAAACTGCACAATGGGCCATGGGAGTTAGGTACATGCAGTCCGCAAAGAAATATGTATTTCCTAAGGTGGTAAAAGTGTATGGAGGGGCGAGCGTGGCAGTCAGCAATGAATGTGAATCAGTACGGGACCACCTAAACCTAGGGGTAGACCAAGGAAGAGAAACTGCCATTCAGAGTTACATAACCTCTTTTCTGCTCTAAGATAATGGCTATCTATAAAAAATGCCCAAACTATTAGTAGCTCAGTATTTAAAAAAAAAAGAGAGAAGAAAAAAAAAACTCTGGCAGGGAAATAATAACAAAATGTATGATCCACAGAGGTGGTGGAAAGATATAATGTTATTTTACATATTTGATATAGAGCCTAAATTAAGCCACAGAAAAGAGCCCATGAATCTTCACAGCCTCATTATCAAGCCTCCTTAAACCTCAAATACAGAAAAATACATTTCATAAACAAAGACCCAATAGGATTTTAATAGTACAATAAATTTCACAGACATTTGCACTAATCACATTTCACTACATTTTTTTTTTGAAGAAAGAAATTCCATTTGATAAAGAGTCAGATTTTGAAAGAGGGTACAAAATATATTTTAGGGAGCCAGTTTTCAACTAACCATGGAAATACAAGTCAAATATATTATAGTCACATCAAGTATTAGGAACCAGCAAATATGCACATATGCCTCTCTCCCCACTCCTCAGATTCCTTGTGTCACGGCTCAATCCCCTAAGAACTTATCTTTCCTCCAACCACTGCACATGGCAGGAAAGTCAGCCCTCAGTTAGAGCTGTCAGTCCCTGAGGTGTTCCAGGGTCCTGCATGCCTTTCCACAGCTCCGTCTTTTCTTCAATATGTGGGTGGTTTTCTAGTGCAAGTTTCCATCTAATCATTACCTGGTTTTGTTGAAGATGCTCTAGCTTGAACGCCATCGCCACAACAGTCTCATTCGCAAAGAGATATGTTTACCCAGGACTCCCCTTAGACCAGAGCAAGAGGGGGTCCTACCTGGGCCCGGCACTTTAGCTGGCTCTTCTTTGACCTTCTCCATGGATCAAGAGGACGTACCCACCTAGATGTACCTCCATTCTCAACCCTGTTAAGTCCTGGGACCCTGGAATTCCCTACCTTAATGGTCCCTAGCTTACTCTGGGGAGAGGGGATTTTTAGATGAGATTAACCTTTATTTTTATTTCTTTAAATATGCTTGTATTGATTTGATTCTTATACACATGTTGAACCATTCATTCAATCATGTATGCATTCGTTTAGCAAATATATAGGGATTTCTCTGATGTGCCAGTTGTTATTCTAAGCTCTGGGGACACAGCAGAGACATAACATTCTCTCCCTCATAGAACTTAGAGTCCAAAGGGGGAAGTGAGCAATAAAAAAATGCAAACACGATATTCTGAGAGCGGTAACGCAATTTTGGAGGTACTCCTTAAACAATGAATGAATGAATGTGGAAATCCTTTATGGCGACCAAGAAACTTTATTTTTGGCTGGCCTTGTTTGCCACCAAATTGAAAAAAAAATTAAACAGAGGATCTCTTTTATGTTTCTATCAACTGCAGCTCCTGAACTAATCCAATGATGAGTCCACTTAATGATTGCTATTTACCTAAGCACATTCTGAACTATTATGCCCTCTATAGAAATGTTCAAACAAGAACGTTAAATCTGACATGGAGAATGGATTCCTTTGAATCTGAGAGGGGGGGGGGGGCACAGGCACATGAAAGAATTGCCATCTTCTTTATTTCAATTTGAAATGCAACCCTTTCCTTACCCCAGATTCTAATTCAAGGGGCTGCAGTCCCATGGCCATTCCCTCAAACCAGGTTCCATTGAGCCACTGATGGTGGCTTTTTAATTTCATCCTTCAGGTGTTGCATCAAGCAGAAAAAAGCTGGGAACCACCGGTCGAAATATGATTGAAGCCCCCCCCCAAAGTTTTACTATCAACTGCAAAACCCACAAATAAAAATGAAGATGGGAAAATGCATCACTGAAAATCTAATGTGCAGTTGGCTAAATGATAAACCAATTTGAATTAGCGAATACTAATTGAAAAACTGCATGACAAAGTATTTTCCCATTAAAACAGAAATTTGCTAAAGGCGTTTTCAATTATTTATCGTGCTTCGGTGAAAAGCTCCACACATCCTAACTTTGCCTACTGATCGGATTTTGAGCACACCAGCACCTAGCCCAAATGACTTTAACAATTCTATGCCAATGACCTTGACGATGCTCTTCGATTTTTATGAGGTTCTTTTTTCTCTCTCTACCGTCCTCACACCTAACTGAACAGATGCTTTTCACTTGATAGCCTAATTACGATCTTTGAGTTTTAATATTTTTAACCTTATCAGGGCTTATCCGCATCCCAGAATCAGTTCAGTAGACTTTACAAGACAAGTGGACTATGTAGACATTTTGGCCATCTGAAAGGACATTTTGGATGAAGGACTGTCTCCCTTTGAAGTTCACAAATATTTGAACGTCCTTTCAAATGCTGAGATAACGTCCTCTCCTCAAAATCAGGGCAGAGGTGGCTGCTGGGAGCCAGAATTGTGGATTCCAAGCCCACAGGGAAGGGAATATATTTGGAACATAATACCCTGTTGGTGCCCAATAAATGTTTATTAATGAGCCCCATGTTTTGACCCAGGCATGGAGAATAAATCCAAGGAAGGAAGATTATGCAAACAGACAGGAAGGTCACCCAGCCCTACATGGGGTGTGGCCCAGGGTAGGGGCAGGACCAAGGCACGCAGGTGACAGGACAAATTCTCCTGGGTGTCCAGCGGCGACCCTCGCGAGCCCCACTCCAATAGTTGCCTAGTCCATTATAAAATAGCGTAGAAGGACGTTTTAATCAGTGGCTGTTAAAATGGTTGTTTGAGAACAAAACGAAACTGCACACAGGCTCTCCTCTTAAGAGCTGAAAAGATTCTTGGGCCAGACTCCTCATGGAGACTCAAGAGTGAGAGAATCACATCTTAATGACCTCTGAGATTCATTAGTAATTGGTATGCCCGCCTTGTGTAATTGGATGGTAGAGAGCTCTCCTGCAGCCAGACTTAGAAACGTCTGTTTAGCAAACAGATTTCGCATGAATGAGATGTGTTAGAAAGAATGACAAGTCCTGGGAAGTCACGTGATCCCAAGTGATGACATTGGGCAAGGGGCCCTGGAAAGGCAACACTTACAAAACAGTATCACCGTCCCTGATATGAAACCGAAAAGGCACGAAGCAGTTACCAAAATGCCTTGTAAGAGGCATTTGTCCTTCCCAACACTGCAGGGAAGACTGTCTGTGTGACTTGGCACCAGTCGTTAGCTATTTAAAATGATTGTTTTTAATCTAGTAAGTAAAACCGAAATTTGCTGTGGTTTCTTTTAATAAAATATTTATGATGCTAGGAAAATAGCTAAATAGCTCTGATCTGAAAGTAAACAATGGAACGGAACTACATTGATATCTTCCCCGTAGGACATACAGCTCAAAACACACGCACATAAAAGACAGTCAGGTCTAACATGAAGCTGTATTGCGTAGACGTTCTCTTCTTTAATTGAAATCGTATCTAAGGTGGCAATTACCTCTTGCCTCAGCTGCCCTCACCCTTTCTAGCCTGAAGGCCCAGAACTTGTGAATTATTAAACAATCATATTTGTAGCAGCAAATTGATTTTTGAGAGAATCCATATTGATTGAAATATTCAAGACTAATGATTTTGAGGTTAAGGTGTTTAGATGGTATTGCCTCTGATGGACTAAATGGGTAGGGCTTTTTTCCCCCCCTATTTATATTATTTTCCATTAATTGCTAGTTGAACTTGCTCTTCACTTTGAATCCATCCATCATACTAAAACCTGGTGCGGCCAGTTGGCTTTCTAAAACAATGCCAGGTGTTGCCGTTGTCCATGAAAAGAAGGAGACCATATAGGTGAGCCAGCTGGTTGGCATCCTAACTATGCGGGTTGAAGTCATATTTGTAATTGTTGGTTAGGCTAATTAGGCGTGCTCTATTTCAGCAATTCAGAAGGCATCTCTACGCCACACACAACTGCCAATGAGTCACACAAGAGTCACCGGATAAGCGCACGGTGGTGAAAGCTGGGTAAATTAATTGCTAGTTATCAGGAAAAAGGAACACCAAGTTCATGGTCAAGTGCACGTCACTGTAGGTCAGCACCTCTACCGTCATACCTGGTGACATGGTCACATACTATAATAACTCCCAACGAGAGTATTTGAGATGTCTGGCCTTGACTCAGTCTTTCAAAGGATTTTGTAGATGATTCAAAAGCCGAAACCCCATAGGTTATGGTCCCAGAACTTAATAAATAAGATTATCTTTATGATACCAATTCTGCAGGAAATCTGAGTGTTGGTCTGCCACTGATTGACTACATAAACTTGGTCAGCATATTTACTATCACCAGACCTCAGAAGTTCATCTAAAATAAGGTAAATAGAAGCTTCTCCATTTTTGAGGTACAGTACAGTGCACCTATACATTTTTATTGTTATAGTTGATATTCGAGTGAGAAGCTAAGCTTTTTAAGGTTGTAGAATGAGAGTCTGTGGCTCAGATACTTTCTTCCTCTCTTACCCCACATCAAAATCACCAACAAATCCGGTTGGCACTACCTTCACAGTATATCCAGGGACCCTCCACGTCTCCCCACCCCGCCAGGCATACCTCTGGGGTCCAAGCCGCCGTCACCTCTTCCTGGATTAGAGCCGTTGCCTCCTAGTGCGTGTCTTGGCTTCCGCCCTTGCCTCTCCTCAGTCTACTCTCTAAACAGCGGCTGGAACATCCTGTACAAATGTAAGTTACATTATGTCACTCCTCTCCCCAAAACCCTGCAGGTAGCTTCATCTCCTTCACTGTACAGGTCATGGCCATGATAGTGACGTCAATGACCCTACACATGTGGCCTGTCCCCCCTTTTCCCTGACATGGCCTCTCACTGTTTTCTCCTTTGTAGATACTTCACTTGCGTCCATTGCTGGCCTTGCTTCCCTCCATACACCAGGCAACTCCCTCCCTTTGTATCTGCTGGCCCCGTGACCAGGAGCCCCCCTTTCCAGCCGTCCACATGATCACTCCCTCAACTTCTTCTGGTCTTTTTGCAAATGTCATCTCATGGAGTCTTCTCTGACCTCCCTACTCAAAATGACCAACCCTCCTTCCCTCACTCTGTTTTCTTCCATCATGTGACATACTCTCTATTGTGATTTTTTATTTGTGTACTTTCTTATTAGAATGTAGGCTCTATGCAGGCAGAGTCTTCAGACAGTGTGCCCAGACAGTGCTGGGTCAATAAATATATATTAAAGAATAGAAGAAAGAAGGAAGGAACGAAGGAAGGGAGGGATTCCAAATCTAACCCTGGATTCTAGCAAAATATTTGATTCTCACAAACCAGTAAGCATATCCCTAGTTTTAAAAAATATATAGTTTTTTATTGATTTCATAGAGGAAGGGATATAAAGAAAGAGATAGAAACATCACTGATGAGAGAGAATCATTGATTGGCTGCCTCCTGCACGCCCCCCACTGGGGATGGAGCCCGCAACCCAGGCATGTGCCCTGACCAGGAATCAAACTGTGACCTCCTGGCTCATAGGTCAATGCTCAACCACCGAGCCATACCATTCTGGCAGTATATGCCTAGTTTTTAATGTACTATATGATCAGGGCATATTCCAAAACTATGTTGCCATAATTGTCCCCACCCCACTGGTTATAAACACTACAAATCAGTCACAAATTCTGGTTTAACTCTTGGGCTTACAATTAAAGTAGAAAGGGATTATTATCATAATTATTATTATTACCAATAAACTTCTGTTTATTTAAAGAAAAAAAGGTGATTACTTCCAACTCTGTTCGTCTTTCCAAAAACTGCTAATAGACTTGAACCTTTGAAATTCCTGATTTGACCTGAGCTTGACCCTCGCAGACAATTCATTTGCCAAGGGGGGGGGGGGAATTACAATAAAAATGTCTTAACATTTCTTAAACTGAGACCCACAATATTTCTGTTCCTCAACCACATATACATCCGTCTCCAATGTTCTCAGGATAAAGAAGAAAAAGGCTGCTTTCTAATTTTTTAAACAGAGCAATGGGCAGCAGCACTTTAAACCTTCTCAGTTGGAAAGTGATATTTTTGGTCAATGATCTATTTTTATTTCTGCTCGGCTGTTTCTCGAGGAGTCCAATGACAAGGACCTGTCCTTCAAAGTTGTAGACTGTGGGCACGGAATTAGCATTTTCAATTACTTCCCCTGGATGAAGCACACAGGTCTCTTCCCCTCCCCACCCCCAACCACTCTCTCTCTTTTTCTCTCCCCTTGGAGGACAGGGAGGGCAGTTTCGGGGTTACCCTTCATTTTTTATTCAGAATGTTCTCAGCAGGCTCCAAACATACTTGAAAAAGCAATTTATAATTTTTTTCCCAAAAAAGAAGAACGGCATCTAGGACTTGAACATCGTCGGATGTATGCTTCCATTGCCAAGCCTATCTGTTTTAGTTGACAAATTTGCTTTGTGTCATTTTTAATCTGCAGACGTATATTTTTGTAACTCCTATTGACTCTGTGGCAAAGCTAGTTAATGTGATTTTCCTGGATAAGATACTCAGGACAGTTACCCTTGCAGACATTTTTAATAAAAACAAACATCAATTGGGGACTCAGAAATGAGATCAGATTGCTTTATCAACCAAGGAACAACCATCCCTCTATTTCTCATTCTTCTTTCAATACCCTACCTGTTACCACCTTTTTAATACAACAAACTGATCAGATCAAGGACAGATTTGGAAAGGAAAGACAAAAACCAGGAGCTGCTGTTTAATTTTTGGAAAAGCCATTATCTAAAAGAAAGCAAACCAGAAAGTACAATAAGCCAGGTGCAAGGGTGGAGCTCAGGTGATGGGAGTCATAAACTGTTCTATCGTGAGGTAGTTGTCCTGCCAATTGGGTGGACGATCTTGAAGGGTCTTTCCTTTATTCTGGCTCTGGCATTTATTTGGTTGGAGAAATAAATGATTCTAACACACTTTGGAAATACATGGTACTCATTAAAAAGGCACTCACAGAATTCTGACAACATTCACTCCAATTCTTAGTTTTTACAGGACCTCTGCTCTACTTTTAAGTCTTGTGAAGAGATGCTAGAGACACCGTGTCCTGAGATCCAATCTCTTTGATTGCAAAGAGCCATCCTTAATCCAAGTGGTAACAAAACAAAACAAAACAAAACAGGGAACTGGTGGAATACTCAGGACATAGCTTATACCTTTGGGAGAGGATGGCATTTGTTCGGCACTTACTACCTGCTGGTTCCCTGGAGGATTCTTTACATGTTCCATTTCAAGGAGCAGACACCTGGGGCAAAACCACCTTAACCTCCTTCCCCAAAAGCTCGGGATCAAATTGTCTCCCCCTGTGACAAAAATTGCAAAAAGGACTGCTTTCCAGGATAGACCCAAACACCTTCTGGAAGTTCATTGCTCTGCAAGTCTCCCAGGACTGAATTCATACTTCAAAGCATGTTTCACAACTTATCTACCACCAAGTAATAAAAACATCCAGTCCAAGTTGTATCTGATAAAAGTACCAAGGCTAATAGGGAAAATTATCTACCACCAAGTAATAAAAACATCCAGTCCAAGTATCTGGACCATCCAGTAGGGTATTGTATCTGATAAAAGTACCAAGGCTAATAGGGAAAGTATGAAGAAACTGTATGTAATATGCAAAATATAAATCACTCTAAACTAATACTCACTTTAAGTATGACCCAGTATGTCAGGGAAGAAAATGCTCCTAAAAGTGTGTGTGTGTGTGTATGTGTGTGTGTGTGTCTACAACACAACATATTACTCCCTTCCCCCATACACTTCAACACTCCACCTTAAAGTGAAAAGAAGCTGGAAAGAATTAAACTAAGATGCTACTCCATGAAGCTGCAAGTGCATAACTATTGGGTGAATCTCTAAACCATGACTATGCCATTGGCTGTTTTATTAAGTTTACCTTTAGCAGGTGTAACCTTCATAACCAGGCATCTCCGCTGGTCTGACATTTACAAGGCAATATCTTTTAAAAGCAATAGCCTTCAATGTTGAGCCACCTCTTAATTATGGGTCCATTGAACAAAGGTAGCATTCATCTCTTCGTTTCACAAAGACAGGCAACTAGCGCACTGGTAGCAGTTTTTATTGGTAGGAAACCAAGTGCCACTTAGATTCACTTTTATTACTCTTCAATAATGAGGTTTGTGTTTCGTTTTGTGCTTAAACGATGGATTATACTCAAATGAATCTGTCTTTCCCCTCATTATTATTACTCTTATGACTTTCCTAAGAGAGGAAAAAGAGTATGTTTAGGTACATTTCATTCTATCCTGCCTTAAATCAAGTGCTCTCGAGGGAAAATAAGCCAATCTGGAGCTCTCCCCACCCCACCTCCTATTAGTTGAGTCACTGTGGACTCCAGAGAATGAAACATCTATAGCAACATGGAATAATTTCCTCTTATATGATGTTCAGAACTTTTTATATTTATATTCACAAAAGGATTAAAGGCAATGGGATGGCATCTCTTTTTCTTTTATGTCTGCTTAGTGCATTGTTTGGAGAAATTCTGGAAGTAGTATTGAAGCAATAAATTATATATTTGCTCCATTGTTGGCTTAACTTTTTTTAGGAGGAACTTCCTCTGCCTACATTTGTTTCCCTGTGTGTCCTCCTGGAATGTGGGCCCCTCAAGGGCAGGATCTGTGGCCTATTCACCTCCAATCCCTAGAATCCAGCACCAGGCCTGGCACAGGGCATGAAAGGCATCTGTTGAGTGGAAGGTTGGGAGGCTGGATCCCAATGGTCACCTCTTCCAGGAAGCCTTCCCTGCTGCCCCAGACAGGTGAGCTGTTTGTCACCTGTGGGCACCCTCCTTCAGAGCTCCTGTTACACTGCGTTGAGATGACCTATGTGACTTAACTTAAGCCTGGGCCCAGAACCATTGCCTCCCAAACCCTGAAGGTTTCACAGGTGAGGAAAGTGAGGCCTGAGAGCGGGAGGGACTAGTCCAGCCGTGGGCAAACTACGGCCCGCGGGCTGGATACGGCCCGTTTGAAATGGATAAAACTAAAAAAAAAAAAAAAAAACCCGTACCCTTTTATGTAATGATGTTTACTTTGAATTTATATTAGTTCACACAAACACTCCATCCATGCTTTTGTTCCGGCCCTCCGGTCCAGTTTAAGAACCCATTGTGGCCCTCGAGTCAAAAAGTTTGCCCACCCCTGAACTAGACACTACGCAAACTAATGTTCCAGGGAGGACTTCTACTTTTGTTTTTATCCTCATTTTTGTTTTTCTTTTTAACATCGTTAAGAAATAGTTGGACAAGTTTCTGCAATAAATTTTTAGCTATCCTTACAGTGTTGATTTTACTTTTTATTTGAGTACTTTTTTCAAACCTTGGACATAGAATGTGAGAGCTGAGAAGGTCCTTGAAGATTGAGAATAAGTACAAGGTCAAGGTCCCACAGCTGGCTGGGGTCTAAGCCTCCAAGAACCTGAGTGTCCTGACTCTCTACCAGGCTTTCTAGTCCCAAATCCCATCTTTCATGAAGAAACCCATCCATGGGTTGCTAAACCCCATTCTGTCTCACCTATTTGTGAACTTGCACAGTACTCATACGGGCCTTCTGAATTGCACCATTGTGCATGGAATGATAACCTTGCTTAGTGAAATTCACTAGCTATGACCTCCATGTCTGCTGACGGCTCTTGTTCAAACAC